AATTTACAGTGTTGTCACCAGTATAAGATAGTGAATGACTCCTTGTTGCTTCATCAACTTCTAATTGTTCTGTCTTGTTATCTCTCTAGAATGTTACTTTTACTCATGTTGCTGCAGTATCAACTTGAACTACTTTAGTTGTTTAACTTCAGGGATAAAAATAACAAAATGATCTGCAAAGGCTATTCCTTAGGATCATGTAGGAGATCTCTCATAAAGGCCAATGCTCATTTTTCTGTAAGGAAAGGCATATAAAAGAACCTTTTGTCATTTCTTGGTTTGAGGTCAAAAACATTTGATGAGTAAACAAAGTCCAAATTTAAACAAAAAAAAGAGAGGGTGTTTTAGAATTACCCTTTTTCAGTTATTGTATCTTCATTCAACAGTTACACCTTATAGAAGGTCCATAGGGGCCTGTGTTTGAGGATGGAAATACCATGCAAGAAATGAGAAGAGGGAAAAGAAGAAATGACAGCAGGCCCAAATAATATGATTAGGGGTTTGGTTGGCTTTTTTTCCCCACTGAAGTGGTTCACTGCTGTTGTATTTGTGCATCTCATGTCTGTTGCTGCTCTTGTGTTGTTACTCACTGCAATGTTTTATTCTGTTCTAAACATTGTTTGGCATTACATTTTGCTTTAATTACTCTGCCAGCAAAGACACATCTTCTCATTCCAAATCAGTATTTGACGGCTTAATTATTCACAAATTCTTATTGCCAAGTCAGTATTTTTCAGTAAACAATAAATTATCTGAGGATGGCATGTCCCATCCCTTGAAGTCAAGACCAGGTTGATGCTTTGAGCAACCTGATCTAGTAAAGGTGTTCCTGCCCATGGCAGAGGAGCTGGAACTAGTTCATCTTTAAAGGTCCTTTCCAACCCAAACCATTATGTGATTCTGTGATCAGAATTCCTGACTTCTCAAACTGACAGCTATCCACAAAAATAATGATGAGCAGTAGGTAAAGCTTGGTGTCACAGAGAACTAAACTAGCATATTTGGCTTCCTGGAACCCACAATACTTAATACATATAGATTTATGCTTTCTGCTGGAATGTGTTTGTTCAGCCAACAAGCAAAGCTTTACCACAAAAAACTTTTACTGAAATGAAATCTACTCTCTTTGTCTCAACTGTGTTAATTCATACTGTACAAGGGTAGAAAGTACAAGTATTCAGACATTGCTGTCAGGACCTGAAAGAGGGTAGACTAGTAATTATTTGAAGTGACAAAATTGTCTTAATAATTGTAAAATTGAAACTACTGTAGGCTTTTCTTTGTTTTGCAAGTTAAAATCAAGGTTGTTTGTCTTTTACTAACTAGGTAAATACCATTCATAGTTTTACATTTTTACATTTGTGATAACATTATTTAGTAGCATCTTGAACTGAACTCATCTCAAATTCAGCTTTCTTTTTGTTTCTATAAATTTTACACAAAATTAACTATTCCCCTTTGTTGTCAGGCAAATGACATGTGAAATATCCATTTTGCAAGTCCATATGGGACAGATTATTTCATCTGTACATTGACAGTTAAGTTTGTGCAACTTACTCTTAATGTAGAGATAAGTATGGACAAGTAGTAGATAAGTATCAGTAGGCCCAGAGGTGAACTGGACAACAGTAATTTAAATTATAGTTAAGTATTTTAATGAAAAATAAATGTGCATTTTAAAGAGTCAGAGTTATTTTTGAATTCAGTTCTTGAGATTAACTGAAGCAATAGACTTAAAAATAACATCACAAAGGCTTAAATTAGTCAAGATCATAATGAGTCCCAAAAGTATTTTTCCTCACTTTAAGGATTTTGAAATTAGTATCTAACTGACATGGATTATAGGAGAAACTGATTATGTTTATCTGTGGGATCCTACTCTGTTAAAACTTATGGTAACTGCAGGACTCAAGGAAATAAAAAAGAAATACTGAATACTGATGATTCTTAATAGTAATTTCAGTTCTAGCAGACCAGCAGGTACTGCCTTTCAAAAGATACCAGGGAAAACATAATGGTTCAGATGGAGATAAAATGGAATGATCATCTTTAGTCCAGTGTTATAATGATCTTATAATAACATTTTATAGCATCCCAAATATCAACTATTCTTTAAATTCATTAATCAACAATTCATGGTATCCTAATAGAACATATCTTAAACACTCCAATCACTTCCTGAAGGTTAATTTAACACTAACTGGTATCTATGAAGCTTGATCACTAATTCATGAATGAGTTTGGTTTTTTCCAGTCCTTTCTTGGTCCTTGACAGAGGTGAATATTTGACTATAGGTCTGATCCTTCCTCCAAATCAAAACCATCTGCCTAAAGAAAAGAAAGCAAGGGAAGAAGGTAGAAAGGGAAACACATAATGCATTTGGGTTTTTTTTCCAACCCCAGGTGGTGTCAATCTAAGAAAAAGCCACAAAATAGACCATAAGTTACAAACATGCCCTTGCTATCATTACTCTTAGTTTTTTACCAAGCCTGCACTTTATCTGTTTTCTGTATATAGAGTTTCTGATCAGCAACATTTGCAAGTTTCCCATAAATAAAAGGGTTATAAAAAATGTGATATGACTTCTCTGTGTGTGGTGGAGAAAAACACCATCCCACATGGTCTCTGAATGGTGACACAAGGTCTGTGGAAGAAATTTTTCTTGATTGTTTGCAGCCCACTTGTCAGAGAGTATGTGATTTGGAATATCTCCATGTTTCAAGTTATTCTTGCAGTTGTTTACATCTGCAGAACTAAAGTAACTGGTTACTTGGCAGCCTATCAGCAGAAGAGAACTAAAAAAAAAAAAAAATAGAAAAAAAAATTATTGTATCTTATATTTCACCAGTTTCATTTTTTTGAAAGAGTGCCTTTTGACTAGTTTAACATGGGGAAAAAAACTGGTGGATCCCAAATTAGTACTTGGCCTTTAGGAAGGCTGTAGACTGCAATGACATCTCTCCTTAGTCTCCTCTTCTCCAGGCTGAACAGACCAAGTGACCTCAGCCACTCCTCTTACGGCTTCCCCTCCAGACCCTTCACCATCTTTGTAGACCTTTTTTGGATGCTCTTTAATATCTTTATATCTTTCCTATATTATGGTGACCAAAACTGCACACGATATTCTGCCTTATTCGAGAAAATTAAAATCTTTAATCTCTCAGTCTCTCTTTATACTTCTTTCCTGTTTACTATATAGTCAGGTAGACTCTGGTTAATGAAAATGTGGTAATGTAAAATGTAACAAAAGAAATATATTGCATTATTTTGCTACTCTGATGTAATTGACACGTTTCTCTCTAATTTTATCTATACTGTATTGTCATACATATTTTTTTCCTGCTGTGTATAATTCTTGCAAATATGAATTTCTCTGTTAGCGCAGTTTATGTGGCACAATTAGTGAATAAAACCAAAGAGATAATTACACACAGGAATGTCCAATTGTGGTTGAGATTTTTGCTCTATTTTAATGTGATGTAATATGTAGGGAAGCGACTCTTAGGACTCCTTAGGTATTTCAGGCTGTGTGTTTGTGATGGTTTCCATAGTTTTTCAAGAAAGGTCTCTTTGTGAATGACAGTCAAACCTCAAACAAACTTTTTATGAGGGCACCAATTATGGCATAGAGAACTGGGATTTCAACAGTGAACAACTTCAGCATATGACATATATCCAGTCATATCAGCTGACTTTGTACTTGCTCTTTGGAGTTATAGTGCTATTGCCAATGATGGATGCTCAGTGGCTTGAACCAGTTACCTTAATATAGGTGTTTGATGCTAATTGAAAGACCTTACTGAGTGTCTGAGACCTAAGCTTTATAGATATGACATGACATCCATGGACCCCAGGGCAGCAGCTGGAAGCTATGTGGGACTGCATGTGTGTCTCAAGTATCACTAGAACCTTCTGCTTAGGCAAATATATAGAGTTTTTATGGTAGTCCTGTAGCACCTCCAGCTTGTTTTCCTTCTTACCTTTGGCAGTAGAAGACCTCTGAATTTAACAATAGAGGTTTTTTTCAGTAGCTGTCCTAAAGCACTGATGAACATTGAAAAAATTGTTTCAATGTATGTTTCTCATACTTACTTTTATGTTGGAGGTGCAGAGAAGAAAAAAAAATTAAACAAACAGGTTTGACTGCTGATAATTTCTAAACAAGGTGAAAATAATTAAGACATTGTTAGAGACCCAAATAACAATATAATGCAACCTCTGGAGCAAGTCCAGAGGAGGGCCACAAAGTTAATAAGAGGATTGGAGCACCTCCCCTGCAAAGACAGACTGAGAAAGTTGGAGGTGTTCAGCTTGGATAAGAGAAGGTTGTGTGGAGACTTCATAGCAACCTTCCAGTATCTGAAGGGGACCTACAGGGAAGCTGGAGAGGGACTCTTTGACAGGAGCTGTAGTGAGAGAGAGGACAAGGAGTAATGGGTAAAAACTGAGAGAGGGGAAATTTAGGGATGTTAGGAAGAAATTCTTTTCTTTAGAGTGGTGAGATACTGGAACAGGTTGCCCAGGGAGGTTGTGGATGTACCAGTGTCGGCAGGGTTCAAGGCCAGATTAGACAAGGCCTTAAGCAACCTGGTCTAGTGGGAGGCATCCCTGCCCATGGCAGGGAGGTCAGGACCAGATGGTCTTTAAGGCCACTTCCAACCCTTAACATTCTATGATTCTATGATTTTCGAAAAGAGAAAATTGAAAAACTTTTTTCCTTAAACTCTCTACAACCTTATTTAACCTGTTGCTAAATGTGCTTGACAAGAATTAAGTGTATTATTTTTACATAGGATACCTAATTTTCTGACTACAAGGACTCTGTTTTAGTTTTTTTTTCAGCATTTCAGAAAAATTCTGTACGAATAAGTAATGTTAATTGTCATAAGAGTCTACTGACTTATTTGTTATAGTCTTATTCATGTCTAAGCAGTTGTTTGTGAATTTTAAAGAAAGCTGTGATTTTTTTACTCAGAGCTCTGCATCTTGTTTCTTTTAGATTGAGGAGGATACGTGGCAGAAATACTACCTGGAAGGAGTTGCAAATGAAATGTATACAGAATATCTGTCTAGTGCCTTTGTGGGTTTGTCCTTCCCTGCAGTTTGTGAGTAAGTAGAGATACATATTAATAGACAGAAGTATTTGCCTTCTCTCAAGAGAAGTCTGGTTTTTGCAGGAGACTTTTTCACTTCGCTGAAGTCCTAATGTTGCTACTTCATATGGTATCTAATAAACACTAAAGCAATCAATGCATGGAAGTATCTGAAACATTGTAATGCCTGTTTTCAGAATAGACTTGGAATTAAATGATTGTAAATGAAAGCATGAATGTTTTCAGTGTTGAACAAATTCATCAGCAATCCATTTAAATTGAGTTATTTACTCACAAGTGCTGTTCTATTGTTTCTTCTAATGATTCCCATTCTTTGAACAGTGGTTGTCAGCATCACCATCTTGGCTAATGTACCATTCCAAGGAAACTATTCATTAATTTAAACATACCATTAAGTCATATAACCGGTGTGACACCCAGAGCTCTGTGGAAGTGGTTTCAAATGACTTGTAATAAGTGAAATATGTCAGAAAAGATGTGTCTGTTCTGTTATGAGAAAGGACTACTTGAAGCACATAGTACATAACCATAGCATAAGCCATTCTACAGCTTTATTTCTAGAGACTCAGAATGCTTATATTTGTCCTAGAATGGGTCTATGAATGAGAGATTTGTATGCAAAAGGTTTCTATGACAAATTCTGTGGCCACATGATCAGATAGGTTTAGCACACTCGTATTTCCTCTTCAGTTGGCATTGCCCTTCACTCCAACCATGCCAAAAGGTCACCACCAAGGCTGTGGACAGCTTTTGCTAGGGACTGTTCAAATACTTGATAAGAAACAGACCCTACTCTGAAGAGTTTGATGTTGAACTAGTTAACACAGAAAAAGTTCTGAAAACTCCATTCTTAGAGAAGGAATTAGAAGAAGAAGTAAAATATCATCTCTTATGTAAAGGAGGATGATTTTGCTTCTACTCCTCTAACTTCTCTTCCTTTTCCAATTTTTACAGGGAGCATAAACATAGGTTATGGCATAAAAATGAGGGAGAAACAGCTGTTAGACAAATATCCATTTAAAGATCTGTCTTTGTCTGAGATGTAGCTATGACAGAGCCCAGTCTTCAATTTGCTACTAAAATTAGGGGCTTACAATCCATCCTTCCACTGTGTTAGCCAAACTGTCACTAGGTTACTGAGGGGAAAAGTGTATTACTAAACTACAAAAGTCTACCTGGATATGTTGAAATAGAAAATCTCATAACATATTACAGAAATGTGTATTATATTCAGAATGAATGGTAATTTGTGCTGTTTACACTACCTACAGTCATACAAATTAACTCTCCACTGCAAACCATTTTCAAACCTGTTGAGTTTCTATATGAGTTTGCAGAAACATGTGACTGAGACTGTATTTGATATAAAGCTGTCATTCATTTAACTGTGCTGGTAGAATGGAGATAAAATAATCAATAAAGGGTGTTTATTGAGATTTGGAAACATCTAATTTTGGAGGTCTCAGGCATTTGGTTATCTGAAACAGCAAATTGTGTTTACTAGTTTAAATGAAACAAAAAGATTTATCTCAAATTTTTCACCACTTTATAACTCTATTAATTTCAAGTTAATTAAAGCACATTAAAAATTAAAAATTAGTATTGCTTATTAATGAGTTTCGTGCTTATTAATGAGTTTAGGTATTTTCATTACTGTAAGAATTGACTATTCAATTTCCAAAAGAACTGAGGAACAGGAAAAGTCCTTTGCATTGATTTGTGAAGGGGAAATTAAGTCATTGGATAGGCTTAGTGCGTTCAACCACCCATGAGATATACAGACTTTGAGAACAGTTTTTGTAGTGCAGCTTTTAAAATTCCTGCAGCCAGTGACATTTTAAAAGTCTGAAACTAAACGAGATGTTCTGCTTTCTTAGGTTATGGGTCTTAATTGCCAGTCTAGGAATGTGATTCTTTGGTAAATAGGCTGCCATACAGTTTGGATAAGAAACATAAAGAGAGTGCAGAGACAGTGGGGATGGGACACTCAATATTGTTGAAGAATTTCAAGCTTTTGGTGTCAACACTTGGGTGAAGAATTAGATGGCAATAGAAGTTAGTATCAGTCTGCAAGTTCTATTTTTAACTATATGTGTGTGTACTAAACGAACATATTCCAAACAATAAATTTTCAGTATGTGAATGTAATTCTTAACATTCTGTGCCCTTGGATATTGCTGGTCCAGGTGTGGATGATGCTGACTGAAGATAAACTAACCAAATTGTCTCCCCCTACCCTGGTTCTAGGCTCACTATTTTCTACCCAAAGTTTTCCTAATGAGACTAGCCATCTATGGATTGACACTTGGCCTAGCAATGGAAGCAGCATAATGAAATGTGTGCACTCCTCTTAATATTTATTAAATTAGACATATTTCCTGTTTGTTATTCAAGAAATTGAATATTATCAGTTCAGTAGCCAATTCCTTGTTTTCAGTTAAGTATGTGATTGATACAAAGTATGAATAATATTGCTTAATTTGCGTAAAGAAGATAAATATTATTGACATATATGCAAAAATATTAAGAACACTGAAGTAAGGAAGTTGGTAGAAAAGCAGGGAGCACTGGAGAAGTTAGTGTATGATCAAGAAAATGGCAGCCATCTAATTGAAAGATCAGCCCAAGAATCACTCATGACAAATCTGTACAACAGAAAGCAAGTAGCATTGACTTTGCATACATTTCAAGGGTAAAATTGAAAAATAATTTCTAGTTATGAAAAAACTCAAAAACTCACTTTCTTTGTTTTCACAGAGCCCCTTAGCTTGAAGTTAATGGTGGTATGCTAACTCACAATTTTGCAAGTCTGTGAATATCACCCTTAAGTTGTTTTAATAAATAGCCACTTCAACAGACTTTTATGACTGAAAAAAATGTATATTACAGTATCAGAATGTAATTCCCATATATTGATCACAAATTGCTTCCGGTCATGCTGTTCCCCAAGGACAATAGTTGGAAAATAGTGACTTATTAATAGTGTACTCTCACTTTATTTCAGTATATACATATTTTTCTAAGGAGTGCACACTACAATCAACAAATATTTGAAAAAATTACCTCAAAACATCCACAACTATAGCCAGGTGCAATTTTGTGTTGTGTATCATGGCCTTTATTATTATTGCTTAAGTAGACTTCGTATGACAATGTGTTGGTGGTTGTGCTATTGTTATCAACTTCTCAGTTTATATTTTTAGGATCGTATGGGTTAATTATCTTCAAAATAGAAAGATCTTAACATATATTCTGTGTATCCCTAATGGAAAAAATGGGGAAAGATCTTAACTTAGTAAGTTCTCAAAGAAAATACATTCCCCACGGCCTTCTCTACATATATGTGATGCTGGTTGTGAAAAAAGACTGACTCTTGGCCTCTTCTTTTCCTGCAGACTGGTGTTTGCGAAACTAAAGCTCTTAATGATAGCCATAGAATACAAGTCGGAAAAACGCGAGAGCAGGTATGTCCAATCCCTCCAGCTCTTGAAGTTCTGGAATGCACCGCCAAGAATTTTGCTTGCCTTTTCTTTTTTTTTTTTTTCCAGAATGAACATAGCTATTCTTTGAAACATTTCAGAATATAATTAGCATGCCATCACATTACAGCATTTCACATAGCACTGAAAGGCGCTTATTTCTGCCTTATTTCCTCCCTGAAATAAATCCAAGTCAGAACATTTAGTAGAAGGTGGAGAGACAGTAATACATATGTCCCATCTCTAGAAGCACGGTTAATTTTTACTTAGGGAAAAGCTAACAATTTTTTGTTCCTAATGTATCACTTCTAACCAGAGGTCCAACTTACTTTACTGAAAATGGAAAAGTGAAAAACAGATGTCATATCAAAATTCATTATGGTTATGTGTATTCTCAAAATACAAATTTAGCCTTGAAATTACCAACTGGCTGGCTACTTTCCTCAACCAGAAAGAAAAAAATTCACTGTTATTAGTACAGCGTTTCTTGCTTTTTTTTCATACAAAAGTTCATAAAAATCTGATTGACATTGGAATCAAACTTCCATCAACTAGTCTGTCAGTGCTGTAAACAATACTCATTTTTGCATAACAAAAATGTTATAAATGTTGTCTGCAACATGTAGAGGAACATTTAATAAAAATATTACAGTACTGACTCTGGATGAATATGATTTTCCTCTTTCCAAAGTTATATTCTGTGCTGCTGCAGTAAACCTGGAATGATATGTATTAATTCATCTTATTATTGGCATTTAATTACTTTTTAGTGGCCAAAAGACACTTTTGAGTGAATTGTTTCTCCTCACAGGAGAGCTGATTCTGTCATTTGAACTCATGCCACAATTTCTGAGGTTTTGCAAGTTTATTTTAATGTTTAATAGTGTCATAATTTTTCTTTATTAAAAATATGTTTAAAACCTATATTGGGCATTTGACATGGAAAATGCGATGTTACAACTGCTTAAAAGAGTATTTCCATGCCTGATAGTTGATTTTACTTGTTTCTTTCCTATGTTACAAAGTGAAATGTGAAGTGGTGTATGTGCTATTGGATATTATTTTTGTTCAGACTATGCTTTTTTGTTCACACTATACTGATTAAGAAATCCTTTTTTTCAAAATATATTTTTTAAAATGTTTTCAGCTCCTATGGACTCTTAAAATACTTTTCCATTGAATGATCTCATTCTACATTAGCTAATGTAAAGCCAATGATCTCTTCTTCTGTCTCTAGAAAAAGGAAAAATTGATAGTAATAGCAATGGAACTATTTATCAGATTTTGTTTATCCAGTATTTTAAAAAAAAAATTGTTTCTGTTTTTTCTCCTAAGAATTATTGCCCAAATTTAGGCTGTCATTGCTTCAGTTATAATTTACTTACATAAGTGCTAATATTACAGTCTCTTTCAGTAATAACAGATAGTTCTTGGCTTCTATATCATTCTTTGCACTAACTTCAGTGGGAGTTGGATTGAGTTCTTAATCACAAGGTGATGCAGAGGATCCCACAAAAAGTAACACAATGTGATACAAACATATATTCCTTCTTACTTAAAGCCACACAGGTAACAGTTTGCAATTAATTAATTTAGTAGGGAAAAAAGAGCCTAAAATTGCAGGAAACAATAGTAACAGAGGGATATTAACAACTTGATTTTGTGAATATTTATGTAACAAAAAGAGGACGTATAAGATAGATATTCACATTTTCTTATAACCCTGATCCACAGCAATATCTGCTGATTTTATTAACCAGTGATAATTATGTAGTCACTGTTTGGTGAATCACAGAGCTACCTGTAGTATATCTTTACTGTTCTACTTGTTCCTGTGCTCTTCAACCCAAATATGTTAACTACATATTTGTGGTTTTCTGATCTAGAGCCTTTTAGTCTAACCAGAAAGGTAATGGAACAAAACTTAAGTTTCTCACTTTGTAGGTATACTTGTATTTCCTTGCACTCTTATTAAATGAAAAGATGGGGAATTAAGATAAAAAGTTAGAATAACATGTTTTAGAAGTGCAAGCTCTTTTTGAACAAGATAAATTTGTCATTTTCCAATTATATTTGTTGATGTTGACATTGAAAATATTTTATTCTGCTCATATCTAAAGTTCTTCATAAAGATGAAATGGCAACTGGTTATGGGTATCCTTTTAAACTTTCAGTCTTTATGAGAGTGACCAACAGTAGATATGTGCTGATTTTATGATTGTAGTTTGCATCCATATTTAGTAAAACTACTGAGAGGTTTTTTTATATAGTTTACAATTCAGAGGAACAATGTTAAATGTAACTAAAAGTTTAGAATGTCACCTAGGTGGCACCCTTTTATTAAGAGGTAATATTTCCTGCCATAATGGAGACAGGTCTAGGAATAGTATTTTCAGGAGCAGAGGAAATTTTCAAAGCATTCTTTCTGCTTAAAGGATGAGAAGCTTCAAGAGTTCAATTTTTGTTATTAGCCAAAATAAAATATCTATAGCAGTAAATTATGTATCTGATTTTTTTACTTAACACAGAGAGGTTCCTTTTAAGATTAGTTTCATCTGCCATCATCACTTTGCACTCAGAGCTAAAGCAGTCTTAAGTGGATTCAGAAGTGGTAATGGGAGGTCATTCTAAATTTCTTAATACTTTTTGTAAATTTTCAACTCAGTGTTAAGAATAAATAGTCCCATCCCATTCAATGCAGACTTGTATTTGACTTTGTTGATACCCTTATTACATGTAGAATGGTATAAATACTAATTTACCTAAGCACTTTTTTTTTCCCAGGCAGTCACTTAAATGTCAGTTTTCTAAAGCTTTCTGGTTTACAGTCAAATTCTGTTAATTCCACCATAGGGAATTTGAGATCAGTAGAAATAATAAATTATCAGAACTCTATCCAAGCTGATATTGCTGTACAAGTTAGCAGTAGCTGAGCTTCCTGCTTGCAGATGGGCTTTTTCTTCTTGTTTTCCTGGTTACTAATAAAGCTACCCAAAACAGTAAGCACACCTTGATAGCATGTTTTGTTAAGATTAGGTAGTTAATTATAAACAATTTATGATTGTACAGGGTTGCTTAAAGCAGATATTCAAGCCTAAATATAGGTAATATAGTCATAGATATGATAAGTGTAAATCAGTTGTCATGTAATCGGTAAAGTATCTACAGTCTTTTTAGGCAACCGTTCCTCATCAACATATCTTAAAGATTAGTAAAAACAGCTATGATTAGATTTTTTTTAACCTTTCCTTTTATATATTTAATAATGTTTAACCTGCTCCTCAGGTATCAAAGAAGCCTGAGTTTACAAAACTCAATTTAGAGGGTTTCTGACAAGTTACTAAGGTCTGCACTTCAGTAGTTCCAGGTCACAATATGACTTAACCATTCCTTCATCTCTAATTAGTATCTGGGAATGTTATAATGCATTATTAAGAAGAGGAAGCACTTAAATAAATTTTTGTGCCCCTGATAAAAGCCAAATATTTTAGCTCAAAATTTGTCTTTCTTAATTCATTTGGTTATTTTATAGAAAAATGCAAAGGGAACATGGAGAGCATGAACCTGAAAATGTCCCTAAGTTGAATATATAGCAAAAAATAACAGTTCAAAATGCAGACATTCAAACTCCTTATCTGAAATCCCTTTTACAGACATTTCTGCCTTCCTTTTTCCCCTGTATTTTTTTCCACATGAGTAAGCAAGAAGGAAAGCCTAACATGGATTCTTCCCTCCTGCAACCCATTTATACTCCTCTTGTAAAATTTTCTCTTGTCTATCCATATATTTGTTCTCATTCTCAGCAGAAAAACCTTTAAGCCTTGAAGACTTTTAAATAAAGGGTTTTTTTGCTTTTGCTTTGGTGTCAGTTGATTTCTTATCAAAGTGTTTGATTTGCAATTTTTTTCTTGTCGTTTGCAGAAGCCGAAAGCGGTATGCCCTCTTCGTTACCTTTCCTTCCAACCTCAATCCTACCTTCACTCCTTCTAACTTCAGGACTAATTCCTTGCCAAGAACACAGGAAGATAACATCTTTGTCTATCTTTCTCTGTATATGCACACACATATATACATACATATATTCATCTGTCTATGTGTGTGTGTATATATATATCTGTGTGTATAATTATATATGAGCCCCCAGTCTCAAAGAGGAGAGAGAATAGCATTTTGTCTCTCCATTGTTTCTTGTGATTCAAGCACTAACTTCTTTGCAGGAAGTATAAAATTAAACAGCATAAGTTTTTTAGGCCTTTTTTTCCCCCTTTTGGAATCATTGGTGTATCAGAGTGTTGCATTCGAAAAGCAGACTTTACTGTTAACATCTGTCCTCTTTTTTCATTTGTACTGTCCCATGACGATGTATATTTCGTCTTTACCAGCCCTTGTGCTGCCATATTGTCTTCATATTCACACCTTCATTGATGTCCTTCTTTCCCCAGAGTCTTCCTTCAAAACATGTCTTACAATACAGTAGTTCGTGTTCTCTTGCAGTCTCATCTTCCATTAACAACAACCAAATAACTGATTCTTTGCATTGCTGGTCCTGTTTTGAGTCCAGTTATTCATAATACAGTACTCATTAAAGCTGTTGTACTGTTCCAGTGAAATTGCCATGGATAGTTTGTATTGTATGTCACATTCATTTTAATGACATTAATTGAACTCATTTACGAAGATGTTACTGTATGTATTTTGTTTCTCAACTGTGGGTTGGGTTTGTTTGTTTTTTTTTTTAGATGGCATGTTTTACATTTTCTTTTGGTATACCATGCTCTGAGCCCCTCTCTAGTCTACATTCTATCATACTGCTACTGGTTTGGATGAAGTAAACAGGGCATACTCTTCCTTGTCTCTCCTCATCTCTCTTCCCTCGCACAGCTTTTTTTCGTAATTGCTTATAGCATTCTGTCTGTCAGTGGTGGTCTTTGGAGATCTGTTATCATTGTCCAGACACTTCAGTTTCCTTCTTCATCGTTCTCTCTAAACTTTACTTTCTATGTCTGTTCTGTTGCATATGTTGTGTTATATGTATTTAAGTTTTAGTCTTATTCTCCTATGGTTTCTGAGTAGATGTGTGATAAGAGAGGTGGCTTCCTGTCAGTTTGGCATTGATATGATCCAAATGCAGAGAAGTTACTGCAACACTTAGCATCTTCAAGGATCTGCAGCTGTTGCACCTCTACTTTGCTTCTTGCTTTTAAGTATATATTATCTTGTGGTGAAGGCATGTTAAAGCTGGCATGATGAGCGATATGGAGAAGTGTTGTACCAAGTGAAGTTGCTTGCTCCCAGAATAAAGTATTCTGTTATGCTTTGTTGTACTGATAATCAATCACTTCTAGAATCAGAAGGAATAACTTAATTGTTTCCAAGTGTATTGAATTCACCATCTGTTTAACTAGTTTGGACTATGCTCCAGTAAAATACCTCATGCACATCCTGTAAACCATGACTTAGGTACTATTGTAAAGAATTTAACTCCTGGGAGCAACCTTTTATATGCTTGTAGTAATTAAGCTTTAATACACTGTAGCATGTAATGTGCACTGTGTCTTTTGCCTTGTATTCTTTTTAGTGTCTTACTGGATTTTGCTGTGTAGAGCAATATGGATCTGAGTTAATGTCAATGACAGAGTCCAGAAGAAGGAAGCAATACTAATGAGTTACAATCAATGTGAAACTGGTATGTGCACAACTCCCACTGTGGGATTTGTGCACCTACTCTCACACTCCAAAACATACCCTGAAACAAAAAATATTATCTCCAACTAATTCTATAGTTGGATGAATGACATGGTGTGTTTTAAAAGGCCGCTATGCTAATAGTACTGCTTTTTATCTGGGCATGAAACAATCAAGAATAATAGCTGGTTTTGTTTAAAAGTGTGGTAGCTATAGTCAGTAATACCATATAGTCTTGTTTTAGATAATGTAGGCATAGTACTTAAAGAATATTGTATCTTCCTGATGATTTTGCTACTGTTAGAGTTGCACGGGGAATGGTACAGTACATCTACCACAAGGTTTAAAACAGTTGTTACAGCTTTTGTCATTTGTTTAGTCAAAATTTTGCTGTTTGTGTTTCATTTAATTCAACAATTAATATTTTTTCTTTAGAAAAGGAGGATGATAGTCACATGGGTAGCAATAAAGCTGAAAACAAACAAAAAAATCAATCAAGCAAACACCCAAAACCCAAACAACTGACCAAAAAAAAAGTAGTATTAATAAGTCAGAGAAGTTTCCTTGATGCAGGGCTGAGCTGTTCAATTGGTCACTGGTAATGGGATTCCTCTCACCTAAATGTCTAATCTCCTTTTAGTTATCTAGACTTATTCCATGATTCAGGGAAAGAGAGAGACAATTCTTAAATGCATCTTCCATTTTAAGACAGATGAGAGGAATCTCACATTTAGTGCTGCCTAAATGTAACCTTGAAAGTAAGAACAAACAGAAATAGTATATAACTGAGACACTGACAAGGAAAATTGTTAAAAGGACTTTTCTGATGTAGAGAACTACAGGAAACATTTTTCATTCTACTGAAACTTTTGTATGCTGAATATTTATTAGAAGTAATGTTTTAAATATTCTAATAATATGAAAAGATATCAGCCATCAAATTTTCTAATCACATTTCAGCCCAAGAAACATAATTTGAGTCCAATATGTGTAACATTTGAGAGCAGGAGACAAAAATCACCCAACATCGAAAATGAGTAAAAAATAAATAGATAGAGGGAATTCGTCCTACCCCAAAGTGCCAGTTCACAAACTGCCCTACAGTTCAAACCTCCAAGTGTCAGGTTCTCCATCAAGTATCTGTAAGTTCAGGAAAACATGGAAGATCTTCAATTAGTAATCAAAACCTTAGCTCACTTATAATGCTTTAAAGGAACACTAAAAAGGAATATATAGGAAGTATTCTCTAGCTAGATCAGGGTATTGTCAGTCATCCATGCCCTACTGAAAAGGTATTGAGCAATGCTCATGTTCTGGGGTAGTTTCAGGTAGAAAAGAACAAATCAATAAATATTTACATGTATCTATGTTTTATTGAAGGTAACACATATACTTTAAAAATCAGAAAGATATAATCCAAAAAATATGTTGATCACAATTAACACACAGTGAATTATGAACAGATATCTGTTCTCCATTGACATATGAAAAAGTCATCACGTCCTATCTTAACTTTTCATTGTGTAAATGAAACCATAAACATTCATCTAGAATTTTTGTGACCACATTTAAATTTTCCTTTTTTTTTTTCAATTGTGCATCTCAGATGTGCACTGATTGCCATTTGTGTTTCACGTGTTTATATTTCTGTCAGTCTGGGAACTCATTTTCAGCTGAATAGATAGTATTACTAATTCTTTCCTGAGCTTTAGTTGTTCAGTGTCAGGTTGGGTGGGGCTTTGAGCAATCTGTTCTACTGAAAAATGTCCCTGACCATAGCATGAGGGTTGGAACTAGATGATTTTTAAAGATCCCTTCCAAAATAAACTATTCTATGATTCATTCTGTGAACTGAATTCAAGGATGATTTCCACATTTTCAATGTGTGACATTTTCATTGCTCTTGGATGCCTGATCTTTAATCTAGTTACAACGTGAATCTTCTTTAGCAAATGAACTAACTTTTGCAGAGGTTTCCAAACTGCATATTCTATTCCACAAGTGGCTTCCAAATTGTAGTATTATCAACAAGTAATGGAATAAGTTCATGTTGGTGAAGGACATTAAATTCCTATTAAACACATTAAATCATATTTAATTTACATGGTTGTAATTGCCATGTGTTCTAAATGTTCATGTGTGAAGGAGCAAGCAATCATGTGAGCCCTACCAGGAAAAGTTTTATCCTGAGGAATGTATTTCTGGAACTGGAATCCTTAAAGAATTATGGCTGAATGGTTTTTTTTGAACTTGCTATTACTTGATTACTTTCTGAGGTAATCTAAACTAGAAATCTTATAGAATTATAACATTTAATCAAGATTTCAGAAGCTTTTAAAATACTTGGCCTTCTTTCTTAATTTCATAAGCTGATTTAGGAGATTAAAAAATTAAATTGTATTTTATGATAAAAACATGTATTTGGAAAAATCAGAAGTGTAGTTTTCAATAATACTTTTTCTGATGTATGGCACGGATTGCATATTAATTAGCTCTAGGTATTGTTATTAAACCTAATGAGTTGCTGTTCTTTTTTCCCCTTTTCCTATGTCTTCCTGTATCTGCGAAACTTTTCATCCTTGGAGATACATAAAAATGAGACATTAGCTGAAGCTTGCTTTCTTAAAAGTCCAATTTAGTTTGCCATGTACTTAGCTTCTCAACCACAGGGATATATATATATATGCATATTTTCATATTAAACAAATACATGCATCTCTAAATAACTGATAGATGCATCTTCTTTGTATACTAATAAGACTGTTTTGTTTTTCTCTGTGCTGTTTGTTCTCCATATTCTACTATTTTAATTCAAACATTTCCCTTGCTGTACATATTAGAATGAGTGCTTATCAAAGCATAACTTTAGCTAATGATACTACAAGTGTCATAAGAAATAATTCAGTTCCTGCTTTAATAAGCAGTGTGTTTAATAAATCCATATAGACTCAGTAGAAATTGCTCATGATTTTGCTCTGGTTATATATCAGTGTGTATATAAACCCAAAGCTTTATGAGGTTTTGCTGTAACTCTTTGCTAATAGCAGTGATGGGGCAAATTAATTTTTATTCCCTATGGAAGATTTTGCTGCTGGGGTCATGCTGCATTAATTGTGATCAAATCTATATTTTGTGGCTATTTGTATTTGTGAAAATAAGTATGTGTGAATGAAGTATAAGATCTGACAAAAATAAAGTCTATACGCTGACCCATCTGAATTGATTTAATGTGTCTCAGAAAACCTCGAGATACAAAATTGTGCTCAAAATACCTTACAGCCTAAATGAAGCCAGTTACTTCTGATTTAAGATTGTATTCCATGCATCTTAAAAGAACTGCTTCATTTGCTCATTACTTTGTCAAATTTTAAGTATTGTTATGAGGAGTGAACATTTATACATCTAATGATTACCTCAGTTTGTGGAGCTTGGGTTGTTGAGTTTTGAGTAGGATTTTTTACTCTTTGGTATGGTTTATCTCCAAGAATTGTATTGAGGAAAAAAACTAACCTGGTCTATGTAAAGAAATGTGTTCATCTCTTTTCACTGAAAAGCAGTAATAGTTAAGTGATTAAAGAATCAAATGAGATAAAAGCTATTTTTCTGACAGAACAGTACCCATTCGTACCTAAGAAAAATAGCCAACCCAAACTATATTACGAGTCTTTACATGTTTTAGAAGAAACAGTATAGCAAATAAATGAGATTAGCATGGTTAGGAGATTTTTGAGTTTAACAGCTAAATTCTCAGCATAATGGCAAGATTAAGGATGAGCAGACAGGGAAAGGGAAACGTGGAGACTGAAGTACAGATGCAGTTATGGACATGATACAAAGTTTTGGCAGAAAGACTTTGGAGATTTAGTGGCAGAAAGATTCTCTCCTGGTTCTTGAGAAGACTTATCTAGGCTGAGGTAGGCTCGCAGGTTTAAGACAGTCATTTTCAGCTTTTGTCTGTGAGTACTGGCAGAGCGTACGTCTCACCTCCCTTAGCCATGGATGGTACAGGGATCTCTGTAAGTGCTAGTAAGTGCTCTGTGGGCTCAAGAGACAAAAGCTTGTGCAGGAAATATAAATTTTCCAACCTCTTTGTGATCTGAACGACTGGTTTCATATGAAACCAGGGTGATTTCCTTGGTTTTTTGTTTTGTTTTTTTGCTTGTTTATTCTTTGTTTTTTTCTTGTTTGGCTTTAGGGTGTTTTGTTTTTTCTCTTGGTTTGTTCTTTTTTTTTGTTTGGGGTTTTGTCTGTTTTATTCCATTTTAAAACCTGTGAAAATGCATTTTAAAACTGGATAAGGTAAATGTTTTTGTTGCAAGCGCAACCATTAAGCCCAATTGACTAACAAAAGAAATACTAGGTCTGACACTGGATGATAAATACTAGATGATAGTAGTTGATAATAGATGATACTAGTTTAGCTGTGTAGCTTTATTTCATCTCACTTATCTGTGTGCATAATGTACATGTTATTTACATCATCACATTTAATTTTTTGCAAATATTACTAAAGTGTACTGTGGAGATGAACTTGCTTTCCATAGTGATATCTTCCAATTTCTGTAGTTCTGCTCTCTTTTTTTATTACAAAGCTTGAAATTGTGAATGAAGGAAAAGGAAGGATATCTGGGTAGATGCTTTCCTTGAGATTTAATTTCTGTTTGAGCCTCTGCCAAAGAATAGCTGTGTGAGAGTGAGATAATAATTTAAACCAAACCTTTCACAGATGACCTCTGATTAGGTGTTCCTTATTCTGGGCATCAGAGACTGGGCTTTTGGAAATGTGGAGCATTCTTACTTACAGCAAAAGTCCCTAGAAAGTGTATATGGAGCTACATAATGCTAAACACTTAGAAAAAGATGGTCTGCAGGCATCCCAAGTTAATAACTGCTATACCTCATAGTGACTTGATCTCTCCTCTGTAAAATGGGATAATACTATATCTTCATTCTTCTTGTGAAGTAAATTATGTATTTGTGAATCTTTTCCATGCTGTAATGATGAACACTACAGAAAAACATGTAAGAAAAGTATGATCCTGATTTTAAAGAGATAAATTACATGAAACCATGCCCCAAGTAATGACAGTAAAACACTTCTCAATGAAGTTCCAGATTGTGAGAAGGAATATTAAATTAGGAATTGTATCATAATGTCTACATAATGGCAGCTGAATTATGACTGTATGACCAACCTTTTACTTCTGAACTCATGAGTGCTTTATTTTGCAGCCTACATATTCTTGTCATAGGGCCTTGCAGCTTGTGGAATTACACAAAACAGTGTGCTCATATATCTTTCAGATATATTTTTGTCGTATTAATTTATTCCTAATGTATAGAGAATAAATAACATATTGAATAAGAGATGTACTGAGACCAATTTTCCCTACAAGAAAAACTTTGGACCTTCAAAGTTTAGTAATATATGTCTGTTCACAAATGTGGTTTTTTTATTTTTGTGTATATATCCTTCCCTAATATCAATTTTTGCTAAATCTGCAAGGTATTAATTTACTGGTAGTCTTTATTTACTCTAAATTGCACATCAATGCCATTACTACATTTCGAGTTAGAAAGGCTAAGCTTTAATAAAAGACAAAAAAGAGAGAACTTGTGAAAAGCTATATTAAGTTTTAGAAAGTCAAAAGCTTAGTTGTATTAAACATTAATAAAACTTATTGGAAAATATATTTACATTTATTTATATATGTATATTCATATTTAGCGTGTTACTTTGCAAAGTGCCTTACCTAAAATCTAGAGTTAAATTATTATAAAAATAAAGAAGATATTTCTTAGAGAGACATGGAGTACCTCACTTCTTGATAGCAGTTTGTAATTTCCTTCATCGAATTTAGCTGAGGGTATTCTGTCATTGTGGTTGGGTTATTTTTGTTTCATGGCTGCATAGCAATGTTTTAAAAATTTTCTATTCGTTTTATGTTTTTTCAGCTGTCGTGACTGGTTGTCTTGTACCATTCCCCTTGAGTGTATGTGTGTGTTTATTATTTTAAAGAATAACATTATATGTCCAGATAGGGGTCCCATTAACTTTTTTTTTCACTAGAAATTGGCAAAAATTTGCATTGAAGGGTTTAGCTTCATAAAGGATATTTTGTGTTATTACTGAGTGGTGGTTGCTGGTTCTTCCCTTTTCACCATATTGTGAATTTTTCACCACTTTGCATGACAGAGCAAGAAAACAGCAATGCTCAGCTTCACACTTCATGTTTCTGAGAGGCTTTTGTGTAGTCTATATTTAAAGCAAAAACATAAGAAAACAGACGTAAACACTTACATGATGTGATTATAGGCAGAGGCATGTGATTGTCTCCAATTAACGCTTTTGTAAAAAGCATGTGAAACTGTTATTTGACTGGAAATTTCAAGGAAGATGGCTTAAAATTTCCTTGCAACCTTTCCTAACTAGTGGGTCCCCTATAACAGAATCAAATAAAGTAAATTTAGAACATTCCGTTAAAAATAGTTTAAACTTATGGTTTTGTTGGTTTTGTTCTTTTTTCACTGAGCAGTATATTAATCAATCCTGGAAACCACGTCAAGATTCAAGAAGGTACCTTAGGATTCTTCATTGCAAGTGATGCCAAAGAAGTAAAAAGGTAAATCATGTGTTTTTATCTTTAAATTTAAACATATATATTTAATGTCAGTTTGTTTCTTTACATGTAGATGCCTCACTTAATTTGCCCTATTATCTGATTCTCAGGGAGAATTGAGTTGTCACTGTAGTGAACCAAACGTATATATATGAAATTTTCTTAATTAGGGTCCTAAATATCAAGGAAATTAAATAATTTTGCAGCAGATATGAAAAGAAATAAAGAGGCTGGTAGAAGACAGGGATTACAGTTTTGTCTGAGTTTCAGGTTTAGAGAAGTTCTTATTTACATAGACTTTAGCAAATACTTGATGTAAGCAGGCTACTGTAATTGCATTAGCAAAATAATACTTATGTTCTTGTCATTTTTCTTTAATGGAGCTACAAATTCTATGACCTCATAATAATAAGTCAAATTACAACAGAGCACTATATTCCAACCAGCTATATTCACAGGCTCATTGTACTTGGCTGTACTAGATTTGGGTTGAATGAAAAAGAGTTTTATGGTATTGTGTTTAGGACCAAATGTGTGTATTATTGTTTGTTAGGATCATTATACGTTTGGAAAGAACAAAGGAGAATTGTGACAAAATAATTTTTAAAAGGAAGAATTGTTGAATGTCTGTAAGAGTTAAAAAAAAAAGATTAATATTTGCAGCTGAATGCCTCCTCATAATTTGTATATTTGTTATGTCATGCCATCAAAATCAGATTTTTACTTGATGTTCTCCATGAGCTTGCTATTTTAACTAAATCCTACACTTAAAATGGTGAAATATTCAAACTATACACTTCATTAAGTTCTAAAATTTTTAGGTTTAAATTACAGTGAAATAAGCAATGCATGTTTATCATGAATCTTTAAAGAAAGTCAAAACATCAAACCAATGAAATCAGAGAACTTGAGTTCTGTTTGTGTTGAAAGAGCTAAGATATTTTTTGGCCAGGGTAGAGCATATAGAACAGAACAGCAGTGCTCCTGACCTCTCATATTTCTAGCACCATCTCTGGAGTATGTGCATCCTGCACTGCCTCAGGTGCGCTGCCTTTCAGCATAGAGTTCTTCTCCTCTCTGGTGCTTTTCTCCAGTTGAATACACAGAACTGTTTTCATATTGCTTTACCTAGGTGCTGGTTTTCTTTCATTTATAAGGCACCCTCCAAGGATTTTTTTTTCAGACTGCAAGAAAAATGGCATGATATTTTTAACAGGGAGAAGTTGACTGTGTTTAGGGAAATTTTTCACATCATTCATCTATCATGTTTTATCTAATACCAAGCATGAAACAGGATTTCCAATTCTGCCTGGCTTTTTGCAGAAGGCTTGGTTTAGAAACATCCTGCCTCCCTTACCACATTTCTTAGCTGTTCTTTGCAAAGCAAATGGTTATCAGATGTGTTTCAACTAACAAAGCCAATTATGAAAAGTGTTCATTTCATCCTTTTGAGCTATGAATCAGAGTCGGAAAAATGTTCTAAAATTGAGGGGGTTCGGAGGGGGACAAATAAATTTTTAATAAAACAAAATTAAACATGTTATGTACCTGAAATTCAAATTAAATTATTCTGATTTTTTGTTAATGAAGAAATTCCAGCTCCCTTAAGCTAAATCTATTTCTATATCCCAGAATGAAATATAACATACAATGTTCAATTACTCTTCCTGCCAGAATCACTTTTACATTTTTAGAAAAACAGTTTCCCATTAGAAGCAATTATACCTAGAAACAATTATGCCTTGGTAAATAGCTTCACATAAAATGTCAAGTGTTTAAATAAAACACAAACTATATGAATTACATCTTTATTATTCTTTATTCATTTAAATGTTAGTACTATGATCAGAAATCCATATGCTTCAAATCCACTTAATTCACTCCAATTATATAGAATGATAATTTTATTGCAGCAATCACTTCAAGTATTTGCTCTTGGCTTTGGACATAGGATTGAAGGTACTCTAGGACATTTGTCCTGAAGTGAACTTCAGAAACACGGTCTCTAGAAATCACACAGAATCACAGAGAATCAACCAGGTTGGAAAAGACCTCTGAGATCATTGAGTCCAACCCATGACCCAATACCACCCTGTCAACTAGATCGTGGCACTAAGTTCCACATCCAGTCTCTTCTTAAATACCTCCAGGGGTGGTGACACCACCACCTCCCTGGGCATCCCATTCCAGTGTCTGATCACTCTCTCTGTAAAGAATTTCTTTCTTGTGTCTAACCTTTACCTCCCCTGGCACCTCTGTCCGGTGCGTGTCACGAAGTTTTGTGAGGTAATATTTGTGGTAGTTAATTCTTGTTCAATAAAGGGGCTTACAGCTGGATTGGGGAGAAATTGTAAAAATTTGAGGAATTTTTCTCTTCCTGGCTTATTTCTTGGCATCAACTCATGGTTTGAAACATGTTTTATTCTCATTTCCTTGGATGTAATTTGTTTACTTTCTGGTGGAATGTGAATATCTTGAAGAACAGAAACTTTCTGCAGCAAAGTATACAAATGCTTAGAGAAGGCTTTTTCATTTTACATTTTGCATTTTAGAAATAAGGCAATGTCACAGCTTGAAAGAGTAATCTTCCTGGAATTTTCTTAGAGAAATTAAGTGTGCTACGTTTAGGACTTGTATCTTCCATCAGCAGTTTCATGCTATATTGATTTTAGAAGTGTTAATAACATTCAGTGAGGTTTCACTGCAATTTATATTTGTATTCCCTGGTTCATATCTTGTATGCTAGACCTGCTTTCTTTCTCCTGATGGGCCACTTAACTACCAGGGTCATTTTTCAGAGGTGTAAAATAACTTAGATAAATTTTTAACTATTTAAATTAGGTATCTAGTTTCTCTCTCTGACCATTTCCTTTATTATAGTTCTACCTGTGGTGGCCATACTCTACTTAATTTAGAAGAAATAGTAGTGATCATCCTAGCTGCAGCGCCAAAGGGTGTGTTTAATCAGAGACTGCGTATTAATATTGTTTATTTTTCTTTTTATATTTCGGACTGTAGATTGTTCTGTTTCAGAGACCTCCCTACTGTTGTAGCAATCCAACCATCCAGTACTGTCAGCAAAAGCTATGGGTGGTCGCAAAGTGGCAGCTTTGCTTCTTACTGCCAAAAATTGTATTGAGAAGTATGCAATGAGGGGGGTCGGGATGATAGGCAGGGAGCTGACCTATGCTGAGCATGGACAAATACAGGGAAATAAGCAGGTTAAGAAAGTATGTTTAATTTGTTATGCCAACAAGAATCCTGCTAAACTGTATCTGTCTAGCTAGAGGCCAGCTGTGTGTGTGATCCTCATGAAATGTGTCATAACAGCCTTACATGATATGTTGACTTGACAGGCATGATTAAACTCTCCTCTGGGCACTCTGATACATATTTATTAAATTGGAATTTTTTTTTTAAATCTTATATAAAGTAAAAAGTTTATCCTTTCCCTCTTTCTTAGTTCTCCTTGTACTTTACCTAGTGGTGAGCCATTTGATAGAAGAGTAGAAGTCCGTGAACAAAAATGTTAAATAGAGACCTAGATAGTTCATCTTGTTAATTGCATATTCTTATTTTAAATTTTTGCTTTTGTCTGTTCAAAACCAAAATGGTTCTTCTTTCTTTAGATATGAAGAACAAAAAAAAAATAGAATCGTAAAATCATAGAATGGTTTGAGTTGGAAGGCAACCTTGAAGATCATCTAGTTCCAACTCCCCTATTGTGGGCAGGGACACCTTCAACTAGTCCCAGTTGCTCAAAGCCCCATCCAACCTGGCCTTGAACATCTCCAGGGATGGGGCATTCACAACTTCCCTGCACAACCTGTTCCAATGCCTCACCACCCTCGCAGTCAAGAATTTTTTCCTAATATCTAATCTAAACCTACTGTCTTATCAGTTTAAACCCATTCCCCCTTGTCCTGTCACTACATGCCCTTGTAAATAGTCTTGTCCCATCTTTCCTGTAAGTTCCCTGCAGGTATTGGAAGGCTGCAATTAGGTCACCTCAAAGCCTTCTCCAGGTTCAAAAAACCCAATTCTCTCAACCTTTCCTCTAAGGAGAGGTGCTCCAGCACTGATCAGTTTGGTGGCCTTCTCTGGACTCGCTAGAACAGGTCAGTGTTCATCCTATGCATGGGGCCCCAGAGCTGGATGCAGTGCTCCAGGTGGGGTCTCACCAGAGCAGAGGGATGGAATCACCTCCCTTGAGCTGCTGGCCATGCTTCTTTTGATGCAGCCCAGCATATGATTGACTTTCTGGGCTGCAAGTGCACGTTGCCAGCTCATGTCCAGTGTCTCATCCAGCAGCACCCCCGAGTCCTTCTCAGCAGGGCTACACTTGATCTTTTCATCCTCCAGCCTGGATTGATAGACCCATGTTGTAGACCCTAACCATGAAGTTCCCTTTGTTACCTTCGTCTCTGATTTTTACCCACAGACTTTCTACCTGCTCATGGCTGTTTTTCAGAGACAACTCTTCACACTTAATCCCTGTCTTGATGTGGAAGGCAACCCCTCCACCTCTCCTTCCTTTCCTATCTCTTCTGAACAACCTGTACCCACCAATAGTCACACTCCAGTCATGGGTTTCATCTCATAATAGTCTGAATCAAGATTTAGATGTTATTTAGTTGTTCCTTTAGGAACGTATTTTGAGTAGATTTTCCCTTTCTGATTTGGTTTCGGGTTGGTTGGTTTGTTTGGTTGGTTGGTTGGTTTTTATTTTTTTTGCAAATAACATGTCTGATATTTAATGTCACAGTGATCTCATTACAGTTTCAGTGTAGCTAAAATGAAGTCCTACTTGTGACCAACCTGAAGAACTGGCCTAGGGTGCTGGATAGTCTTTAAAAAACCCCACCCTGGTATAGCTCATAAGAACAGAAAATTAATTATTTATATTTCTTTTTGTGACAAAGGTCATTGGATGCTCTTTTTTCTAAGATGAGAGAGAACTGAACTGATACACTGTGTCATAATTAATATCCCTTCTTCCAATTACTTTTCAAATAAAAGTATATTAAAAGAAACACTAATTTGGAGTCTTATGTTTAAAATTAATGGTTTCGCAGCAAACATTTCCTAATTTAAATGTCTAAACCTTTTCAAAGATTAAGGGAAATTAGTGTTGGCATATTTCATTAATTTTTCACTGCAACAAGAGGAAATGTGGGACTAATTTCATTTATATGGATTAAGAAATGTGTCGGTTTTCCCATTCTCGCTCTCCAGGGCATATTTTTACTGCAAGGCCTGTCATGATGACATCACGGATCCCAAAAGGATAAAAAAATGTGGCTGCAAACGGCGTAAGTAATATTTCTATCACTCCCTTCCCCTCCTTTTCATGAACTGTTCAGCCCTGAAGAATACCTATACATGTATTTACATGTTTTACTCAGTGGTACAGAAAAACTAAGAAATAAATGCACAGCAACACAGTAAGTGCCATTTGCATTTCGGAAGTCTCCATGTCTTTATTACATTTCACACCACTCACACACCTATGTCTTCATTAAAAAATCAGTTAAGGGTCAATGCTAGCAAAACCTGAAGAATTAAGTCAAGCTAGATCTGATTGTGGAGGTTTCTGAGTTAAGAATTAGCCAATGGTGAAGTTTTGCTATCATTCATAACATGCAGAAATCCAGTATTTCAATAGTTTTCTTTACAGTAAAGAACTTCTGTCTGTCTTGCTGAATATGATTCTGTAAAAGAAGCAACTAGGGAATTCTATTATATCATATAGCTATTAAAATAAATCATTTTTTAAATAAGTGAACAGTTTTAGTGGAGGAAAGGATTGTCTGGAAGAAATTAAATATTAGTGCCTCATATATATCCTTTTAGCTGTAATGCTAATATTAAGTTTAGGTAAGTTCTTAAATTGTTTGGACAGTTTTTCGTGAAGAAATAATTGAGTTTTGGAATTGAGACCAGACTTTGCATCTGAATTTTTATAAATATGTAGCAATTAGCATTTTACCTATCTATACTTCAAAATTATTTTCCAGGGACTATCACAACCGCATTTTGGCCAAAGATGTGTTTGACCCATGCATATTTGTAATACTGATAGAAAAATAATTTAGGGATTCATTCCTGAATGGATAAATGAATATTTATGTGCATTCTATGGTATTCTGCCATGAAAAAGATCACTCAGTTCAAAAGTACTGATTAGGTAAATTGAAAGAAATCAGAAGAGTTTGATCATGTCTGTTTTGCCACTATTTTCAAAAGGGAAAAAACCCTCTTATTTATAGTTTGAGTCAATTTTGGAGGACAGAAGAAGCCTAAACTGGACATTCTCTGCCTTTATGGAGTGCCTGAAGTGGATGAATTCTTGAAGATGATTTTGAAAAGAAAAAAAATGTCACTGGAGTTTTTTTAAAAAACCTCCTGTCCCCCCAAAAAAACAGGACTGTGGAACAACAGTATAATTGAGAGAAAGCAGCTGAAACACCGACAGAAAATGATATTTATCTTCTCAGTAGCCACAAGGAGAGCAAAGCACATGGAAAGCATGCCTGATGTGGAAGGAATGTATGCATTGCCTAACATATTGGAAAAAAATTGTTCAAGAACAGTTTATCCATGTGAGAATGTGACCTTTGAACTGCTGCCAAAGCCAATGAGTCTGCTGAGTAAGTTCTGGTAAAGCCAGTTACAGATGCCTCAGGGTGCCTGTAGCTCTCAAACAAAATCTTTTTTCCAAATTACTCAACAGTTAAAGAGAAATATGTTACCTGTTTAATTTGATCTGGTTCTGTCAGGGAAAAAAAAAGACCTATTATATTTGTATTTTCTTCTCTACTCTTCCTTCACATAATGCATGCTTTTTAAACATGTTCTGCTAAAAAAAATAAAAAAAATCCCCAAAATCTGTCAGTTTAATGGGAGGTCTACAATTTTCATTGTCATTTCTTAGAAGATAGGAATCATGAATTAACACTATAAAGGGCAAGAGCCCTTTTTTGTATATTAATGAGAATCAAGGTAACCTCCTCAATACTAGGAAACCTGGAAGGAGACAGTATCCTGAAACTCAGCCAACACAATGGATATATTACCAGCAGTAAGGCCATGGAGAGGCAAGAGTAACAACTTCTGTGAATAGCAATAGGAAATGTTACAAATGGCATGGTCACACATCAGTCCAATAAATGAAAGGGTGTTGGACAGATGAATAAACAAAATGATGGAGTTAGTGAGGCAGAAGAAGGAGGCAGCTGTCAGAGCTGGCACAGTAAGCACTGAATGTTAAGGAGGGAATCCTCTGAGTCAGATAAAAAAGGAGGAAAAACATGGTCAGTGAGAGTAAAATCTTAAATTTCCCTTTCACTGTCTTCCCTCTCCCTCAATCTGCCCTCTCTCCTCCCATTTCCTAGACACAGATAGGGTCACAGGTACTGTGATAGCAGGCAGCCCTTAGTACACCTGAGAACAACTTTCTCTTAGGGCCATGATCACAAGTATTAGAAATAATACAGTTGCTTCACTTTTAAAGTACTGTCAGTAAGCAGAAAATTTAAATGAAAAATTTCAACAGTAATTAGTGATTTTTGGTTCTCAAATTTTATTGACGATCTTGAGATCCCTTTTATGGGACCTGTTTTTTTGGGGTTTCTTTTGGGTTTTTTTTTAAGGTAAGTCTTTAGTGGAGCCTGTTATTCACATAAAATATTTTAGCTTTCAAATCACTAATCACTTTTGAAAAACCTTAACTATGTTATCCCTCTTTAAGCCGCACAAATCATTGTTCTTAAAAATGCAGTCTAACCAAAACAAAGGATAAATTGAGAAAACTCTTTCCCTATTGAGTTAGAAAACTGTTAACTGATCTGTCAACAGCTAGTATGTCAATTTGGTTTTCAAAGACACTTCATACAGTCACAAATGCATCTGTGTAGTCCTATATGTTAAATATGTATTTTAATTAGGGAGTAACATAGTAATTAGAGGCAGCTGAATGCAGAAAATGTGTAAGATTAAATGAAAGGTTGTATGTAAAAATATTGACACATTCAGGTGAATTAACCATGAAAGAATATCTTTACATGGAAAACTTAATTATGGTGGCATTAATTAATGCAGCTTCCCATGACACTTAAAACCCACATTCTTTAATAATGCATCTGAGGTTGCACTTCAATTTAGATACTTTCTGAACATTAGCTTGTGATATTGTTGGGGTCTAAACGTGAGTCTGACCTACATAGCCATTTGTCCAAACTTGTTAGGCCTAATGTTAATAATTCAGGGCAGATCAGTACATTTCTACAAGGCTAGGGATAATTAATGTAATCTCGCTTTCCTTTTGCAGTTTTCTTGCCATCCTTTTCTCCTTCCCCATCCACTCCCTGAATAACATATGAATGCTGATGTCACATTGTCCAAAGAAATACTTGTGTGGAAATTTTATTCACAGATTGTTAATTTTTTTCAATGTTTTCAATCTCTTTCTATTTCATTTAACTGTAGTTTTTGCAGCAAGAGGCCAAATATATGTATATATTTATATAAAATACAGCCACGTTGGGATGAAATCTCTAAACTGGATTACCTATTCCTCCTGTTTCTTTCATTTTGTGCAACAACTATGGTCTAATTCTCTATATATTTTTTCCAGTGACAGTGCTTGCTGTGAACGGTGGGGGTTGAACCCCAGAGGGGACATATCATGTGTACATTGATGTGTTTGAAGGAATTTCTTGTAATCTATGACAATTGACAAACTTTTGATTTATTTTTCCTCTTGCTGCCTTGGAACACGGCCCCTACTATATTTTAACTGCACACTGATAGTGATCTATTGTGAGTAAAAATGGGTTCCCTGTAGCCCAGAGTGCGGTCCAACCTGTCTTTCTCTAGCAGAGAGTATTTTTGTTCAGTATTTTGGTTCTTTTTTTTATTTATGTTGCATGTAGCAGTGATGTCATACCCACAAGTTTCTCATTGTTTACACCAATGGAGATTAGGGTGACATTGAAGAAAATACAGCAGTTTTCCCCTCTTCTACCTATTTACCCCTTTTTTCCACACACTTATTTTTTTATCCCTATTTGAAAATGAGATCTTGGGAATAGTATTTTCTTGAAATTATTCTAGAGATATCTCATGAATTCTTAGGGATATCGGTTAGGCTGGGGTAACTGCCACTGTAGCACTGTTGGCCTGGTTAAGTACAATTCGATTAATTGTCAGACCTTTGTTCAATTTTTTGGTACTTTGTCCTTTCCATTGCATAGCTGACACAAAGAGCAACACAGCAGTCTTTTACTGTCCTTATCTAACTTCTTTTTCCCCATTGGTAGAATAGAAAAAAAGTTGATGGGGGAAAACTAGACAATGAATTAACTGTGTGGCTAACTTTTATTCTATAAACCCCGAGATATCTTCAACAGGAAACAAGCTACAGTGATTATTTTCCTGAGCTTACTGGTTTGGAAATTAATTGCATAAGTAGACGCACACTAACTTTTCAGGACCTTAGCTGTAAAGTTTTATATTATTATTATTATTATTATTATATATAGAATAGGAACTTTATAGACCACTTCATGTCAATCTAGGTCATACCACTTTAAAGTGTACAGAATCTATGAAGGCTCTCATCAACCACTATTTAGTGTGTACACTTGTGATGATTTAAATAAACACAGCATTTGGGACATGGAAAGAATTTGCTGCAAAGAAACGTACTGGTTATAGGGCAGCGTTGAGATTATATGGACTTGTTCTTTCAAACAGCAAGGGGCATCAAGTATCTCGTAACTGCAGTGTGGCATTACTGTACCAGATTGAGGCTGTAACCATACCATGGAACTGCAGCTATTCTAAGTAAGTGAGACTGTGAGACTTCTTCAGCATTTTACCTGATAGTCTGGATTTATTGTGTGAACACACTTCAGGTCTTAATCAGGATTGAGATATTTTTTCCCCTCTCAGCTGTACACACCATGGGATCTTGCAAAGAATCAAAGAAAAATTTATGCTCCTGGCATTGCATGATAAAGTGCTGGCTGTCTTGAAATTGCGATGGCTTGCATTATGATTACCATTATTTTCTATTTATCTTATTGTGGTGCCTGCAAACTACTCTAAAGGATTGAGATCCTGTTGTGGAAGAAGGAGTTCAAGGAGAGAACAGAAATTTTTCCAAAGATCTGTTTATAGCCTATCAAATGACACAGCAGAAGGCGGGGCAGCAGAAAAAAGCAGATTATGAAACAGATCAGCATGATAAGAATCAATAATAAACCAGAAATGAACTAATTTCTATGGATAAAATGATGAATCCTATTAA